TTTTTGCTATGGCCCCATCTGGAACTGTCTCTCAGCTCTCACCGCATGGTGCACGTTTTTGCGGGGTGCTCCCTCCTGGCTTCACTCAAAGTACTACCCGTTCTAGCACGCCCCGAAAGTCTTCACGTTCTGAAGACCCCACAGCCGCGCGCAGTCTCGTTAGATGCTCGTTTTTGGGACCTGCCTGGGGCCCATCTAACAGATCTGTTCGATTCTCGTTCCACTTCAATTCGATTCAAGTTCGATTCAGGTTAGACTCAAGTTCGGCTCGAGTCGACGGACGTTCGACGCAGCTTCGACGCAGGAGTGGAGCGAGTGGCTCCGGAAGGCCCCATAATGGACATCTAAGTCTCGTTCGACGTCCTCCCTTTTTTTCGGAAGCGCGCCAGTGGATGGCCCTGAATACACAAAAGAGGGTGCGTGCTCGCAAACCCCCCCCCCCCTTCGAAGGGGGGGTGAGATTTTCGACCCTCCCCCCCTTCCCCCCCCTTGAGGAGGGAGGGGTCCGACCCCCCCCCTTGAAGGGGGAGGGGTTCCGGACCTCCCCCCTTCCTCCCCTCCTTGGCGCTGGAAAGGGGAGGGGCGTTGGACCCCCCCCCTCCCCCCCTTTGCGCCGAGCAGGGGGCTGGGGAGAGTGCCTCTCGGGTAGTGAGTAGAGAGTAGAGTGCTCCGAGTAGCGATTGGTAAGTAGTGGGTATTTGACAGAGAGTAGTTCCCAGTGTGTCGTGAGTAGTGAGTAGTGAGTGATGGGTAGTGGTAGTAGTGAGTAGTGTGTAGAGATTAGTGAGTAGTGAGTAGTGAGTGGTGGGTAGTGGATATGGGGAAGGAAGTAGAGAGTAAGGACTCGTGAGTAGTGAATAGTGAGGAGTGAGTAGTGTGTATAGAATAATGCATAGTGAGTAGTACGCAGGCAGTAGGGATGAGGGAGTAGACAGTACCGAATAGCGAGGAGTGGGTAGTGCGCAGTGAGTAGAAAGTATTGAATAGTGAGTGGTGAGTAGCGAGTAGCGAGTAGCGAGTAGCGCCTAGGGAGTAGCGAGTAGTGAGTAGTGAGTAGCGAGTAGGGCCTAGTGAGTAGTGAGTAGTGAGGAGGGATTAGCCAGGAGTCAGTAGTGAGTAGTGAGTAGGGAGTAGCGCGTAGCGACTAGGGAGTAGCGGGTAGTGAGCAGTGAGTAGTGAGTAGGGACTCGTGAGTAGTGAGTAATGAGTAGTGAGAAGCGAGAAGTGGTTATTAAGTAGTGGGTAGTGAGTAGGGAGCTGCGAGTAGAAATTTGAGAGTAGTGGGTAGTCAGTAGTGAGTAGTGAGTAGTGAGTAGCGACTTGCGTTTCGTGGTTAGTTAGTACGGAGTAGGGAGTAGTGAGTAGCGAGTAGTGCGTAGTGGGTAGTTCATCTTCTGTATTGGGTTCCGAGTAGCGGATAGTGAGTTGTGAGTTGCGGGCGGTGCGTAGTGAGTAGTGATGTGTGAGTACCCAGTATCCGATAGTGGTTAGTGGGTAGTGAGTAGGGGTTAATGTAATGAGTAGTGAGTAGTGGGCAGTGAGTAGTGTTTAGTGAGTAATGAGTATTCACTACTGGGTAGTGAGTAGTGAGTAGTGTGTTGAGAGTGGTGCGTGGGGGGTAGGACGTAGTGAGTTGTGAGTAGTGGTAGCGTAGTGAGTACTGAGTACTGAGTTGTGAATAGACCGCATCGGGTAGCGAGTCGGGCGTTGGTACTAGCGAGTAGTGAGCAGTGAGTATTGTGCAGGGTGTATGGACTTGGGACTAGCGAGTAGCGAGTAGTGGATAGTGAGTAGTCAGCTGTGGGCAATGAGTAGTGAGTAGTGAAGTGGTAGTAGTGAGTAGTGGGTAGTGACTAGTGGTTTGTGATTATGGAGTTGTGGTTTGTGAGTTGTGTTTAGTGAGTAATGAGTATTGAGTAGTGGGTAGTGAGTAGTGAGTAGTGAGTAGTGAGTAAGAGGGAGTAGGGAGTAGGGAAGTGAGTAGTGGGTAGTGGGTAGCGAGTCGTGGGTAGTCATTAGTGAGTCGTGAGTAGTGAGTTGTGAGTACTTTGAAGTGAGCAGTGAATAGCGAGTAGTGAATTGTGGGTAGTGAGTAGTGCGTAATGAAGGTGATCGCTGTTTGGCGCTAGGGTTTGGGTCTGGGGTTAGGGTACGGGGTTAGGGTAAGGGTGAGGATTAGTGTTAGGGGTGGTCGGGGTCGGGTTAAAAGACCGGGGGCGCCGTTGCGAGGGGGGGGGGCTCGAATTTTATTGCCAAAGGGGGGGAGGGCGGGGGGGTCGGAAGCCCTCCCCCCCCTTTAGAAGGAGAGGCGGGGGGGGTTCCCCGACGACGGACCGGGAAAGGGGGGGAGGGAGGGGGGTTCCCCGACGACGGATCGGGAAGGGGGGGGGGGCAACGACGGATCGGGGAAAGGGGGGAGGTCCCACCCCCCCCCGCGTGGGGTCATCCAGCGGCGCGCCCTCCTTTGTTCCTTCCTTCCCTTGTTGTGCCGTAGTTTGCTTCGTTGCGCCCAACCGTTGCCTTACCGCTGCTTGGGTCCAAGTGGCCGCCGACCGAAAATATGGCGTCGCTCCGACGGCCCTCCGCGGAACCCACGATTGAGGCGACTGTTGCGCAGTTGGCAGCGCGAAGGTGGGCAGCAAACAGGAGGCAGGATGCGAGAGGTAGGTGGCGGGAGGAGATGGGGGAGGAGTGCTGAGACCACCTGTGTTTCATTCTTAGCGAAGACCCGGTTCAAGGAAGCGTTGGGGAGTTCGCGACGTAGGTTTCTCGCCATTTTCGCAACCGGTCGCCGCCGACACCTTGATTGACCCGTGACGCACCGAACCCATCAAACGGCAGTCGGCAATACCAGTACCCAGTCCCCCGCAGTTGCGGATAAGAGAGAGGGTGTTCGGCGGCGCTCTTAGAAGCCATGGCGCGAACGCTGCGAACGGGATTTGAACCGAAACCGCTACGGACACACCGCCCCTCTTCGGTGAGCCCTCCAGGCATGCCAGCGTGGCCCCCCAGCGTGGCCTCCCAGCGTGGCCTCCCAGCGTGACCTCCCAGCGTGGCCTCCCAGCGTGGCCTCCCAGCGTGGCCTCCCAGCGTGGCTTCCCAGCGTCGCCTCCCAGCGTGGTTTCCCAGCGTGGCCTCCTAGCGTGGCAGCCGGAGAGACGACCCCACGGAGGACGAACGCGAGTAGCTCGGGCATCCTCTCTCTGATCATCAGGCCCATCAAGCTCATGAACAATTGAGAGGGCATGACATATTTTCTGTGAAAGCCGCATGGGGGCTTGATGCGTTGCACGACCCATGCGTAACCAAAGAAAGGTGAAGTATGAGGGAAAACGATGTTCGTTTCCACGCGCAGCAAGTGGCGACATCAACGGCTTTATTCAACTCATCGTATTCCTCCTCCCCCTCCTGATTCTGATAATGATCCTCCTCATCCTCACCCCCGTCCGCCACATTGCCCTCGCGATCTTCGTCTTTATCTTCGCCCTCTTTCTGGACTGCCAGGTGGTACGTGACGTCCCAGCGCCCTGCGCTGTGTGATTCAACAACCACGCACGCTAGCCGCTTGTCAGGACAGCGCCGCGCGCTATGTGAGCGCGCGCCTCTTATCTACGCCTGGTCGTCGGTCGCTCGCTAGTGCGGAAAGTGGCGACATATGCGCTTTTGGCAGCTCAAGGCGTCGCAAGATTTGTCAAGGAACTCACGACGTGGCGGCAGTCGCGCAGGTGGCAGCCCCCCATGGAGCGCGAGGTCTAGTCTGGGTTTGCGAGCGGTGTCGTTCCGCTGGACCTCCCACGCGCCCCTAAAGTGGGCGTGTGGCAGCCCCCCAAGGGAACGCGCGTTCCCATCTGAGCCTGCGTGTGGCACTAGTCCGCTGGACCCCCCAAAGCGCCAGCGAAACTGGTCACAATTTCGCAGGTGGTTGGCCCCGAGGGAGCGCAGGTGTGCGTGCGGGAGCGCTCCGCTGGACCCCGCAGGAGTTAACGAAAGTGACGACAATTGCGCAAGCGGCAGCCCCCCAGGAAGCGCGAGGTAGAATCGTTCGTGCTGCGTCATCCCACTGGGCTTTCTGGTAAGTGGCGACACGTGCGCAATAGGCAACCCTTCGGGGTGCGCGAGGTCAAGTGTGGGTGCGAGTGGCGTTTTTTCCCGCTGTGCCTCCCAGGGGCCCACAATTGGCGACAATGTCACAATCGACAGCCCCCAAAGGGGGCGCGAGGTCTAGTCGGGGGGTGCGTGTGGGGGGCAATTCCGCCAGACATTCCAGAAGCGTACGAAAGAGGTGACATCTGCGCACGTGGCAGCCCCCCAATGAGCGCGAGGTGTAGCCTGGTTGTGCCATGGCGTCAGTCCGTTGGCTTCCCGAGAAGCCCACGAAGTGGCGACAACTGCGCAGCCAGCAATCCCCCAGGGAACACGATGTCCAGTCTGGGTGTGCGTGCGGTGTTATCCCTCTGGATTTCCAAAAACCAGTGAGCGTGGCGAGAGCTGCGCACGTGGCAGCCCCCGAGGGAGCCGCGAGGTTTAGAATGGGTGTGAATGTGGCGTCGTCATTCCGCTGTGTCTGCCAGGGGTGCCCTGGCGGATGGGTGACGCAAAAGAACTAGTGAGAGGCGGCATTTGGTACTTCGCGAGGGTGAGGATCCCGGGTCACGGTCTTCGTTGATCTGCTCCTCGTGCTGTTCGTGTTCCCGGTATTGATGTCTCTCGTCCCTCTTGCCCCTTTCCACCACGTTCCCGATTTCGACCTTCGCTCCTGCACCCTCCTCCGTATCGTTTCGTTTCTCTTCCTACCCATCTTCATCTTCATCTTCTTCATCGTTGTTCTCCTCCTCCTGCCCGGGCTACTGTTGCCACTTCTTCCCCCGCGGAGTCCTTTCCTGCTCCTGCCCATTTTCCCTTGTGCAGGGCCGCGGGGAGGTAAAAGGCCTGAGCCGACGAGGCTCTCCCAATTCCCTCTCGCCCCGCTCGGCCTCACTATGGATTCCCGTGCTGTCGAGGATGTGCTGGCGTTTTTTGCTCAGAACGGCATCGTGGAGTGCATCGTCGACTGTGAGAATGCAGTCTCGCTGGGGACGCGGAGCCAAGGGCGGCCGAGTGGCCATGCGGACGTGTTGATGCGCAGCCCTTGGGACGCGCAGGTCGCTCAGCAGGCGCTTGACGGCAAGTGGATGGGAAACCGCTACATCGAGGTCTTCGTTCTCCTCGCCGACTTCGATGGCAGATGGCAAGTCGCCGCCACATCGATGGCAAAGAGAGGTGACGCCGCGCCGTCGATGGACAGCCCTGGGCTTGGCAAGGATGGCCGCTACATTGAGGCCGGCATCAAGCGTTTCGGATGCACCATTTGGTCGGTACCGTATCTGCAGGTGGGGAGGAGGAACTTGGTGGAGGGAGATTCAGGCATGCCTAGGATGAGAAGGCATCGCTACAGAGCACTCTGGAACGCTCTCAGAGCGTTCTGGAGTCCTTCAGAAACTGAACGGCCGTGGCGCCCGATTCACCCTCAGGACCCGTCGGCCCTCAAAGTTTCCTGATTTACACCCTCATTTGAATTTACCCTGGTCTTGCTGTCGTCACTCCGTCATAGAGGAAGGCGGCGGTGTCCCACAGCTTTCTTGCATGGCTTCCCGGCACCGTTCCGACTGCTTCTTCATCCTGCTGCTTGCCGCGCGTTTTCTGCCTCGGGGACCGAGAAGCGCAGGAACGGGGCCGGCAGGCCTCGACCTGGGGGCGCCCACCAGGGCGTGAAGACAGCCGCGCTTCGCGCTGCGTGGCCTGGACCGACGAGTTGCCCCGAGCTGCCCTTCCAGAAATTAGGAGCGGAAGCGCACCACCACCAGCACCACCAGTACCAGCAGCAGCAGCAGCAGCAGCACCACCACCACCACCACCACCACCACCTGGGGGAATCAGGATAAGCTTGTTTGCAGGATGCGGGTGTGCGCGATGTCCCACAAGAGCGCCCGAAGCGACATAAACCATCACCACGGCCACTATTACCACCGCCCCTTCATCCTCCAGGTGGTGGTGGTGCTTGTGCTGGTGCTGGTGCTGGTGGTGCTGGTGGTGCTGCTGGTGGTGGTGCTGGTGGTGGTGCGTTTCCTTTTCCCTAAGATGGGCCGCGCCAGAGCGCGAAGGGAGGCGCGCCTCGTGCCGCGGAGTCGGACGACGTGGTCGACCAGCGCTCAGTTCAATCGGCCCCAAGGCGGAGCCCCTGGCTGGAGGCGGTAGCGGCGGCCCCCCAGCGGCGGCGCGCGGCGGCGACGCCAGCGGCGCACGCGGCGGCGTTGGCGCCGCGCTGCCGCCGCTGGCCTCCTGGCCTGGCGGCTGCGCCGCTCCGCCGCCGGTCGACGGCGGCTGCTGCGCCGTTCCGCCGCCGGTCGGCGGCGGTGGCCCCGCCGCCGGACGGCCCATCCTCGCCGACGCCGGCAGTTCAACCGCCCCGTCGCCGTGGGCCTCCTTGTTGGGCGCGGCGCCGCCAGGAGGCGGGGATTTGCTCATACGCACATACGATCGATACGGATGCGGAAAGGATAAGGAGGAATACCGACAGCAGTTCTTGGCTATGCTAAGCGAGGCTCACTGTCGGTGTCGTCACGGTCGTTAGCCGTTTGAGGCATGAAGTCGAAGGGGCTGGGAAAAGGGGGGCGGCTTTTTAGGAAGGCGGAGGATTTCTCAGCCAGGCGAGCTAGCAGAGTGAAAACTTGTTGAAATTTTAAGTTTTTTCCCGGAAAGGACATAAGCCCAGGGTTCCCTGTTAGTTGGTTTACCTCCGGGTTTGACTTGAGGTGGGCAGGCGAATTTCTTTTTTGCGATATATATCGAGGTCGAGGTGGGTTGGCGAATTAAAATGTGAAGATGTCCCTAGCGAAACGCTGGTTTTTGAAATCGCGATCGATTAATCACATGGTTCGTGACGTCTAAAGTCAGGGAATAGGCGAAGCCAAGAAGCATCGGGAGGTGCCCCTCCCGACGCCCTTTTGGAGCTTATATTATAATATTGGCAGCGCGCGAAAACATACTACAAATCTCGCGAATCCATATTCGATATCATGGTTTTCTGCGCATGAGCATTAGTTTTCTCCGCGTCTTTTCGCGCGCAAGCAATGGTGCAGCGCGAAAAAACACATGTGATACCATAGTTGTGCGCGCGAGTGAACACATGCGGCGCCGCGAAACACACATGCGATTTCGCGGAACACCGCATGCGGTACACATGCGGTGCCGCCAAACACACATGCGACTTCGCGGAAAACCGCATGCGGTACACATGCGGTGCCGCGAAACACACATGCGACTTCGCGGAAAACCGAATGCGATATTTGGCTTACCGCGCGGAAGCACATGCGATTTCGCGGAAAACCGATTGCGATACTTGGTTTCCCGTGCGAATTAACACATGCGGTGCCGCGAACAACCGAATGCGATATTTGGTTTTCCGCGCGCAGCGGGCGAAAACATGTCAACCTCTGGCGACAGCACATGCGATATATACGTGATCGCGAAAACCATTGGTGTTATCCCAGATGCCATGCATTGTTTCTTCAGCGCGACAGCGACAGAACATGTACTCCAGATTTCGTAATAAAGGGAGGGGGGTCTCATTTCGGGGGGGGGTCTCTTCCAGGCTATCTTGGAGGGCCTGGGGGGGTCTGGGGACGATGTTTTGGAGGGTTCTCCCACGGGGGAGGTCTGAAATGGCTTGTCTTGGAGGGTCCAGACCCCCTCCCTTTTATTACGAAATCTGGAGTACATGTTTAGTGCAATTGTCCACTGTTTCAGTCACGTGGCCATACGTGTGCATATTTATGTATATCAGAGTGAGGGGGCCGAGCGGTCATTCACAGTCCCTGGGTGCGTGGCTGAAGTGGGATTTCGCTGTGCGGATTTTTGTTGTTGTTTGTTGTTGTTTGTTGTTGTTTGTTGTTGTTGTTTGTTGTTGTTGTTGTTTGTTGTCGTCATCCCACCCGCAACCCGCCCCGCGACCCACCCGCGACCCACCCCGCGACCCACCCCGCGACCCCCCCGCGACCCACCCGCGACCCACCCGCGACCCACCCCGCGACCCAACCCGCGACCCACCCCGCGACCCACCCGCGACCCGCCCGCGACCCACCCGCGACCCACCCTGCGACCCCACCCGCGACCCACCCCGCGACCCAACAACCGCGACCCACACCGCGCCCACCCGCGACCCACCCGCAACCCACCGCGACCCACCCGAGATCCACCCGCGACCCACTTGCGACCCACCCTGCAACCCACCCGCGACCCACCCGCGACCCAAACCACGTTCAAGGTACAAACCACAATTTTCGGCGCCTGCGGCGGGCTTTTTTTGCATTCCTTCCAGGTAGAGAGCCCGCGACCCACCCCGCGACCAACTCGCGACCAACCCGCGACCCAAACCACGTTCAGGGTACAAACCACATTTTTCGGCGCCTGCGGCGGGCATCTTTTGCATTCGTTTCAGGTGGAGAGCCCGCGGCCCACCCGCGACCACGATCAGGGTACATACAATTTTTTCGGCGCCTGCGGCGGGCATCTTTTGCATTCGTCCGCGGTGGAGAACCCGCGGCCCACCCGCGACCCATTCCACGTTCAGTGTACAACCCAAATGTTTCGGCGCCTGCGGCGGGCTGCTTTTGCATTCCTTCCAGGTGGAGGTGGAGAGCCCGCGACCCACCCGCGACCCAAGCCACGTGCATTGAACAAACCAATGCCGCACAAGCGCGGCGGCGGATTTTTGCATGCCGTCTGCGCCCGCAACGACCTCTTCAAGCCCCGCGCATCCACACCAGCCCGTCCAGAAACTTTGCCCTGGCGAGTTGCGTTGATCAGAGAAGTCGGGGAGCATAAAGTGGAACAAAGGATTGCGTTGCCGTTATCTAGGGAAAGGAGGGGGAGGCAGGAGGAGTAAACGGGGGACGAGGAGGACGCGAAAGAAGAGAGGATGTAAGGAGAATGTGGAGAAAGAGAAGGAGGAGGAGCAGCAGGAGGACGAGGAGGGGGAGGAGGGGGAGGAGGAGGACGAGGAGGGGGAGGAGGGGGAGGAGGGGGAGGAGATTGAGAGGACGACAATGGAGACGATGAATAAGGAGCCGATGATGGGTGGACGCCAAGGAGAACGATGATGAAGGCCAAGGGGAGAGGGAGACGAGGAAGAAGAGTGAGACGAGGTGGAAATAAGAATGACGATGACGAGGGGGGGGGGGGGGGGGGGGGGGGGGGGGGGGGGGGGGGGGGGGGGGGGGGCGAGACAAACACACGCCGCGAGGGCGGGAAAGCAGGCGAGAGAAGAAAGATAACGGAGGCGGGGATATCCACGACGCCGCAGAGGATGCGGTTGACGGTGTAAGACGAGGTCAGATGAGAACGCTAAAAGTAGTATGAGGGAGTGAGACGGGGTAAGAGGTGAAGGAAGCGAGCAGAAAGGAGCAGACGAGACAGGACAGACGAAGAGAGGCGGAGGAGGACTCGAGAGAGAGGTGGAGGAGGAGACGCCATCGACAAGGAAGGGGGGGGCTACGGTCCCGCCCGCTCGACACGTCCGCGTCCCCTGCGGCCCCCCCTCACTCTTACCCCCAACTGCGGTTGACTATATATATATAATATAGATATATGTATACCCATATCTAATATAACAACTGCAAAAAAAACTCTGGCCTGATTAGGAAGAGGAGGGTGTGAGAAATTGAATGAGAGGGGGAGGAGGAGAGTAAAGAGGGAGGAAGAGGAGGAGGAGAGGAGGAGGACTGGAGGTGAGGTCAGTCGCGCGATTTTTTAGAATCTAATAGTTGAACACGAAACAACAGTTTTCAGCGCGTGCCTGCTTGCATCGTTTTTTTTTAACGCGGAAGACTATCGCGTTCCAGTGCTATGCTGTAGCGCGAAAAATCATATTTCATCGTGCGGTGCATCTTGTTTGTATCAACGCAGCGCGAAGCATCATTAATTTGATAGCGCGTGATTATTATGTATATACCTTTTCTAGCACGACAACTGATGCTTCACTGGCTGCTAAGCAAATAGCAGTTTTGAACGAGCTGCCGCCATCGATTTGGTCGAATGTGTCAATGCTGTAGTACTCGGGTGTGCCTATCCACTCTTAACGTTGCCAGACAATATGTATGAGCACGGGTGCCGGTTTTGATGTTCGCGCGGGAAATGTAGGCGATGCTTGTACGCCGAGGTGGAGCAGGACGGCGAGGGCGAGATGGTGAGGGGACGAGGGGGGGGAGAAGGAACGAATGGCGGGAGGAGGACAAGGGGGGAAGGAACAAGGACGAGGGAGGGAGGAGGATGGCGAGAAGTCGGAGGATGGAGGACGAGAGAGGTACAAGGAAGGGATGACCCCCGCGCGATAGGTTCGATAGCTGCTGCATGTAGGCAATGAGGGAAGGCGGGGGAGAATTTGGGGACGAGGCAGACGGGCGAAGTCTGACGTTTTGACGCAGGGATGAGAAGGAGGAATGAGACAATGACCAGTCGGCGCGAGGGGGTGGGGGTAGCGGGGAGGAGGAGGGGTACGACGACGACGGCGAGCACGGAGGAGCGACAATGAGGGGGAGGAGGAGGAGGAGGAGGATAATGAACGAGGAACAGCCAGGACAATGATGACAATGAGGATGACGATGATGCTGATGATGCTGCTGATGATGATTATGATGATGATTCTGATGATGATGACGATGATGATGTCTATCATGGGGAGGAGGATGAAGAGCGAAGTGGAAGATGCTGCGGGGTGAAGGATAGCGGGGAGATGTGAAGATCATCGCGCTGATGAATGATTGAATTCATGAGGGTGAGTGCGTGCGATGTCAGGATGCAGGAGGAGCATCGAGCAGGATGAACAGGATGACCGCGGATGAGGAGACAAAGGAACGCCGAGGCTGATTAGGGGGGGCGGGGAAGAGCGAAGCAACCAGAGCAAGGCGAGAACGCGAGGGGATGTCAAGAAGAAGGGATTGGGAGGAGTATAGGGAAGGGGGCGGATCGCGGAGGAGCCGGCGGGCTGAGCAAGGAAGAGCGATGAGAAGGGGGAAGAGTTTCGTGGAAAAGCGGCGACAAGGAGCAATGAGTGGGAACAAGGAAGACAAGCGCGGAAAAGCGGCGACAAGGAAGACCGAGGAGGAGTGAGGAGAAATGAGAGGGAGAGGAGGCGGCGCAGGAGGAGGAGATCGAGCGACGAGTTGGGAGCGAGGGGCAGCGAGGGGGAGGAGGAAGAGTGCGAATGAATGAGGTGGGCCATGCTGAGGAGACGGGGAATTTGTTTGAGGAGGAAGATGAAGAAGAGCGATGATGAGAGAGGAGGAACGCGATTACGGGAGTGGGGACGACGAGCGACGAGGTGAAGACGATGGAGACGGAGGAGGGGTGCGGAAAAACCGGAGCAAGGATGATGGGCAGTTCTAGAACAGTAATCGTAGACCGCTTGAAGGCCGTGCAGTGTCTCCGAAACTGCCTCGGCCCAAGCCTTTTC